AGTGAGGGTCGAGTTGGGCTCATCCTCAGGTTCCAGATCTAGTCTTTAGGCTCGGTAAAGTCTTGTATCTTCACTTCTACATCTTGTAAGCCTTATTATCAATTCATCATATTTCTATCTACATGGCTATGCTTACTCTGAATATACATCTTACTTAGTTAAGTTTATTTTTACTTTTGTGTGTGGGTTCATAGAGCGCTTAGCCTGCTAGTTTATCGATTGTGCTAAGTAGCCGAGCCTCGTGTAAGCATGGTGCTTATACGATGCTCTGTCTGTGAGTGCACCATGTTCCCTGGTTGTGTGGTAGCAACGGGAGGTTACAGCCCCGTCTATCCTGTGTAGTCCATTTCGAATTGAGCAGGTTCTTAAATTATAGAACCGTAGTCGCATCAGTAGAGTTATGTTTTGCGGATGCTCTACTATCTAAGCGGCGTCCCGAAGTACATAAGAGTAGAGTTAGTCTTAGCTATAGTTGGGTATATATACTTTGATCTTGTAATAAGAATATCATAGGAATCAACTTCACCCTTTGTTCTCTTGAGTTAACTAGTTTGCATTATCTTAGTGATCTATCCCCTGAGTGTCATTATGCTTAATTTCTATCCATACATTTACCTCTTACTCTAGCTATGCTGGTATGTTGACTGATAGATATTTTTTTATTACTCAATAAATCTTCACTCCATTGTTTTCCTGTGGTGAAATATAAATAACGATACCTGGAATACTCCCGATAAAATACTACAATGGTATTCTGTGAGCTTGCGGAATCCTTCATATTCTATTTGCGTTAATAAATACCAATATAGATCGGGATGTTGCATATGTTGTAATGGCTATACACGTATGTTGCAAGCATCTATTCTAAATATTTCAGCTGTTTGAGATGGATGTTGCATGTGTTTTATCTGTGTGTTGCATATGTTTCACACTTATGTTGCAGTGTTTCATCCTAATGTTGCATATATGTTCACATATATGTTGCAAGTGTTTTCCTCTAGATGTTCCATATGTTTTGCAATGGCTACATACGTGTTTCCCTCGTGTTTCAGACTTATATTGCAAGTGTTTCAATTATTTCGGACGTATGTTGCAAATGTTTTCTCTAGATGTTGTAAAAGTAGATCTGGTGTTGCACATGTTGAAGTGGGCTCCATCTACAAGCAGCTACAGCTGCTGAGCTTGCCTGCATTGCGTGGGTGTGGAGGGGGAGCCAGTGGCAGCGTGGGAAACCGTGCAGGTGCAGATCGAGACGGAGCGAGTACGGGACATGGAGCGGCGCATGACCCCACGTAAAGCAGGCGTGCGGCGCATACGTCCGGAGTCCTATTCATTTGACTTATGCTGATTTATTACGAGAGAAAAACACTATTCGTTCGCTGAAAAGTAATGTTGAAAGTTGTTCCAGCAAACAGTAGAGGATAAATCATGCAAGGACGTGATTGGTTCCCGCGTGACTTGCTGGCCGCATGCAGGGTTTGTCTGGCTACAGCCCTGGGCTCAAATTTCATGGTTACACACTTGCCTGGAGCTTGCCTTCGTAGCGTTTGGTTGCAACCCTGAAAAGGTGACTCGACTAGGCAATAGCGATCCACCCGGGGCATATGAAAACGAACGCCTGGCTCCAGGACATTTGTTGCCTGGGCTGATGGCCATGATTACTCGCTAAGGAATATGCTGCTGTTGCATCATAGTCTTTCTATAGTTTCTTTATTCACGTGAAATCAAGCAAATGACCACCCATGATTATAAGCTAAAACGTGATTCTTTTTTCTTTTCTTTTGTCATTTTAATTTAAATCACTTATACAATTATTATTATTGCAAATATTTATTTTTATAAGTATATAAATATTTATTTTAATATTATAAAGGTGAGAAAAGGTAAATATACAAAAGTTAGTGTTCAACTAATCATATATCATGATAGTAATTATTGTTTTGTTTTTATCTACATCAGTGTTTCCGGACACAGGCTTCCAACTAAACGAACTATCATCTATTTGCCTCACTAGACAGTTTCTATCCTTCCGGATAACACTTTTTGCCAAACAATCATCCAGGCCTTCAACTAAACAGGCCCGCAGAGCGCCCCGCAGAGCCTGGCTCCAAAGAAATGCAAGTCAAGAGATCAGGTGCAGCAGCAGACAACCAAATAACTGATATGCTCATCCTATGTATGTTTATTTAGTTAAACAAACATCAGCGTCTTGCATACGGTAGGACTGTCGTGACTTGACTTGCTGATGGGAGCGAGCCAGGCTCTCCTCCTCATCAAACCAATCACTCTGTAAGTATTTACATTATGAAATTTTGAGTTTCATTCAAGCTTTATGCAAAGAGAAACAAAAGAGGAGAAGTCAACATATGGATAATTGCAGATTGCAAGTCGGAAAATAGTTGCATTCACCCTTCTTTCTTGAATGATTTTTTATGCACATTTAGATGTGCTACCAAACAGAACTTAGAAGGGACTTCCTTGATTCTATTTGCAACACTACATAGTTTATGTCCACATTTTGAATCTTCACAAAGTGGATTTCAAAATTTAATTTAAACAATCCATGACGTGTGGTTAGTCAATTTCTAGTACTTTACTAAATCTGTAGATTTTTTTTTGAGGAAACTAAATCTGTAGATGAACAGCCAAAGCCGGTTGCAGCTACCATGATCTAGAGGCCTTCTCTAGCAGCAAGGCCCAATATATAGGTGCCCACATGTTGCAACATATCTGTCATCTGTGTGATTATGTTCCTACTCCCCAATCATTTTATTTGTCGTAATGTTTTTTTTTCTTTCTAAAAGGGTAGTAATGTAGTTGAATCCCGAGAAGGCTACTTGCCGTCAAGATCCGCCGTGGCCTCCCAACTCCCAAGCCGTGACATTGGTAACATTCTCAGCTCTTTTATTGAATCGAGTTCTTTAACTGTTCCTCATTGCATTTGTTATAAAACTAGACTTAACATGGGAGTAGTATGAATCTTACTTCAGAGTTCATGCTGGGATCAAATCAATATATCCATGCCCCATGTGATTCCTGAAAGATTACTCAATTATTTTGGTAGTCCATAGAGTGCTCCTATAATTTGACGCAACAATATGTATACCAAATCAGTATCTATGGCGATCATCCATTACTTAATGTATGGCGGCAACACGCAGGAAATCCCATTGTATTTAGATTTATAGGACGTGTTTGGTCCACAACAATCACACCCAGTGGCGGACCCAGCCCAAAAATGGAGGTAGGGCGAACTTAGGCTATAAAATTTTGACTAAAAATGACAACATACATATCAAATTACTCGAAACTCCCTATATTTCTTTTTTCTACCCTCTCATCCTCTTGCGCATATACTGTCATACTGTTATACACTCTAATTTCAACTATAGTTTCATGCCACAATAATTTAACTTATTTGTAAATAAAATGCAATCACATACATGCTACATCGCTATACAGGTATGATGCAATCTAGGAATTCACTTAAATCTAGACACCACTCCATTCAGGCTCCAATCTAGACACCTTTTTCACTCAGTCAATTCAACAAGCACCTAGAGAGCACCATGAAACATGACAGCACCATGAACTTACATGCTGCCGCTGCCTGCTGGCGTCTTCGGGGCTCGGCGCCTCGGCCGCCCGGGCGCAGCCGCGCAGGGCCACCCGCCGCCGCTCGCTCCTCGCTGGCCGCCGGTGTAGAGAGGGAGTCAGGGAGCGGCACTGCGGCGCCGCCAGTTGGAGCGGCGCCGCCGAGCTCGAGCGCGGAGCGCGTTCCCTCTGCCTCTAGTGCGTGCGGTGCTTAGAAGTTAGACTTAAGGGCCAAAATGGGCCATTCCTTAGACGGCAAGACGGCCCAGGCGCCCAGCAGGGCTGCACCTTCTTCAACCTCTCCGCTCGGCGGCTCCTGTCATCGCCACATCGGACCTGCGCTCGCACTTCGACTTCAATGGACGCCGTCGCCGGCCAGAGAACAGGGCTACTAGTGGTGCTCGCCGGAGGGGACCTAGGGCGGCCGCCCAAGCTCGCCCTATAGGTCGGTCCGCCTCTGATCACACCACACCACATGTAAGGCTGCCACACTATTATTTGGTGCACAACTTTTTGTAGCACAAAACTCTGCCACAGTTGTGGCGTTGATTTTTGGTGCCTCAGCTGGGCGTGGCAGTTTGTGGCTGGTTGCCAAACTCATCTATAATAAAATCAATATATTTAAAAAAATCAACATATATTTGTTGATTTATACTTTTTCTTAAAATGTACTAGAGTATAGGTTTGTATTTTTTTTTTGACGGAGGCCGTATATTAACTCACCCTCAGATCCAAATGGTGGGCCGAAGCTGTACCAAAATGCCCCTAACGGTGCCCCGGAGTTCCGGACCCCGGTCAACAGGCGAGACGGGGGGGTCGGCGATGCGCCGTTCCGCGGTCGCCACTCCTCGTCCTCCGTCGCGGTCTCGTACCGTGCCCGTTCTGCACTTCTGCTGCCGCAACCCGTTCTCCGAGGTTCGCTCCTCCTTCACCCACTCTCGCAGACTCGCAGCGCGACCTGACTCCGAGATCTCTCCCCAGTCCTTCGCCTTCTCTGCTTCGGTGCTTCCCCACTTCGTTTGAGGAACCCCTTCTCTATTCTGAAGTTCTGAATCCCCGCCCTCCTTTTTTTTTCCTTTGATGCGTGGATACCTGGATGTCAATCCAGGCTCAATGATGGCGCTAGCACTGACATTGTTCAGTTTTGGGTACAAATAATTCAACATGCTTAAGACCTGTTCAGGATTTGGTACTAGAACTTATTTTCTTGTGCTAGAGACAAACCAGAGTTGCACTCCAAACAATCAGAGCAGAATTACATAATTCTCTGTGCTTGCGCAGGGAAGTTGAACTAAAGGCGAACTACAAGTGTAGTATATACTAGGGCCTCATGGACTGCCTATGATTCCATAGGCTGTGGAAGATACTGAGTAAATGACATTCGTAAACCCTGCTAGCTTAATGGATCAGTGTGGAGGGAGTTTCCCTTCGAGGAATGACGAGAATAGTGCCAATGCCCTGCGAGGCTGGTAGTATGGCACCATGTGCCCAGCTCCTCTGACCGTTGCGAAGACCAACCCTTTATACCCAATGACGTAGCCAGCAACCTGCCGATTAATGCAAAAATAGGAAAAATGTTGTTATTTGTCCACATCTACTGCTAGATGGAATAATGCATTTATGATGTTTCGGCATGCACACTCTTTTGCAGCAATTGCATGCCAGCTATAACCAGTTTATGTTAATTGCGTGCGCATAACCAATTTATCTTCAAACATGATTAATGCTGATATTCAATCTTTTGTTTTTGCTCTTTATAGGAAACACATACACAACTTGATCCAAAGGATTCCGTTGACATGAATGCTGATATTCAATCTTTCATCTGATGAATGAATGCTGGGCTATGTACCTCATTGTCGATGCGCCATGGACGCCAAGATGCTTCTATAGGAAGCCCAAGATTGTCCAGCACATATTGTGTTGAAATGAATGAACACACTGCATCCATATCACCACTGGTACACAATGGCATAGTTTAAGTCATGTTCATATGATGTAGCACACTGAGTTAGGTATTTTGACACACATAAATCTGAACATATGTACCTGTACAGCCATATTCTGGTGCCACTTGAAATGAGTTTCTTTATTGATGGCAGCATTGTCTCTGGTGAATCTTTCCAATCCCAATTATCATATACATGCTGACTGCTTGAAGGAAACATAGAAATTAGTCATAAATAAACATGTTGTACTGTTGACTTCCCCCCGGTGTTAATTGCTAATCTAGTAAGAGGTTTACTTGAGGCTGAACAAATTCTCAACAATTAAAGTTTTATACATGAATGAGTATGCGACACGCGCTAGGGGCATATTCGCATTTGATAGAAACCATCAAGGATGAATCAGCATACATGCATTTCAGAGCATACTCAATCTTGTAGATATGCAGTGCATGCGACCCAAGCCCCTAGGGGTGCCTTTGGGTTAAATATCCTATAATTTCAAATAGTTGACTGCTGGTCGGTCAGAATATAGGCTTGAGAATACAAGGGTTTGTGTTGTAAGGGTTCTTGCGCCCTTTTCTTTGTAATACAAACTACAAAGGTACGCAGCCCTCTGTCGTGTTTGAGAAAACAAAATAATATAAGCTTGAGAATAATTTGACATTGTGCCCCTTTTAGTGTTGACTTACTAATACCTTTTTGAATACACCATTTTGTGCTAATGGAATAATTATCGGGAACTGTGGTTCACATACTCTTTGATGGTTGGCTAGAAGAGGCTGTTGATACCTTTTTAGAATCAATGCTATTGTGAAGTGAGTAATGGAAGATACATAAGTATTCTGTATATAAGAAATTGTTTGTACATAAAGCACCTACCTTTTCAGATTGCTTTAGGAAACCAACACCAGATTGCTAATAGGGTCACACAAGAGGTATGGTCTGAAAGTGCACATAAATTGGAGGGAAATATGATATTCAGATATTCAATTTACATACCTACAGTCCATCCATGGGTAGCCTAACCCTGTTGTGTTTGCATGGAGTGTCCTTTGGACCTCAGGACGATTTAGGTAAGAGGAGACATAGTGGTTTGTGCATGGATCACCAAACACTAACTGAAATAGTAAACAAAAGTTTTAGTATACCAAAAATTCATATAGAAATGGAAGTTAAAACATCTATCAATCTGTGATGTGAAATTTATGTCTGGTGTTGTATACCGAGTCACTTGATTTAGAAGGGTTTGAGGCATCGTGGCATATTGGTGCATAGATGTCATAGTCATCAACATTTCCTTTTTCCTGGATAGCTAAGTTCATGGCATTTAGACAGTCTTTAGTGTATGTCCCATTAAAGCCGCACTTATCCTTGATGGCTGTATAAGCTTTTCCAGAAATCATAGCATGCATCCAATAGTAGTCATATGTTGCTCTTAGATTCAAATTATCATCCAAGTCCGCATTTCCAATCTGTTGAAGTTTACAGTGTTACCATGATGAGAAATTTACCAAATTATAAGTTTCAAATCAGTTAAGACTGAAAACTTACCGCAACACCTTTAAGCTTGACACTAGTTACATTGGTTGCTCTATTCTTAGAAACAATCAGATTAGCAAGCTCTGGTATATAGTGACCTGCGTAGCTCTCACCAGTTATGAAGAAATCACGGTCCCGATACTCAGGAAATTTCTCTAGCCAAGTAACAAGAAAGGTATATGCATCATCTGTTGTTCTTTGGTCACCAGTGTTATAATAATCGGATGTAGTGTTTGAATATGAGTATCCAACACCAGCTGGGATCTCGATGAACAACATGTTGGCCACTGCATTCATGAATGAACAATGGAATATCAGTATGGGTGTTAATCCAACTAACTTTTTTACTCCCTTTGTTTGAAATTATAGTTTACTTTAGTTTTGTCCTAAGCTTTAGTTTTGACCAAGTTTATAGAAAAAATGTATCGACATCAATAGTATTAAATTATTTCATTAAATTTCCATGAAATATGTCTTGGTAGTGCATTTATTTGAACATGTAGATGTTAATATATTTTCTAAAAACTGGATCAAAGTTAGAACAAAGCTAAGGTGAACTATAATTTGGAGCGGAGGAAGTAACTATTAATCAAGTGAAGTTTAAAGCGGATTTTACCTCTGTTCCATGCGTGCTTTTTCTTGTACAGTGTCTTGTTGTCACTATGGACAGAGAAAGGTCCAAGTTCAAGCATGGCCCCAGATCCAAAGGATGAACAGCCAGGCCCTGCAGATACAGTAAGTGTTTCATCTTACTCTTTTCAAACTAGGTGTCTTGCTGTAGCATTGCAAACATGAATGATGTATGTTCGAGAATTATGTACATGTTTTTTCCAGTTGTTTGTTGACCCTCATTATAGCAAGTAAATAGATCTAAAAAGAATTATAACAGCATGTTGAAGAAATAACTCTACAGGACATATGAGCTGCCCCTGTTTATGCAGTAAAATTTGCTACAAATTGCGATAAACACAGCTAGCACATACCTCCATTCAGCCATAGGACAAGCGGTTTGTCTGAAGGATCTTGAGGAGCCTCAACAAAATAGTAGAACAAAGCCCTTCCGGCCTTTGCATCCACCGTCACATATCCTGCATATTGGTCAAACTCTGCTACCCCTGTTTGCCCTGGCATACGTACAATCTTATCCTGCTCCCGTTGATTGTTTGTTGAGCCTCTATGCACTGAGGGACTGGTTCCATTCTTGGGAGTTGAATCTTGTTTTCCTTGAACATATTTCCTGGATATTTTCAATTGATTGAACTCAAGAGGCTGGCTGGCCTGGTTTCTAGTGTCTGTGTTTGCAACACTGAAGTAGAACAAGGACCAAACTATCAGGAGGCCTCTTTTCATCTTGATAGGATGCGTGTGCATGGGTGTTTGGTGTCTTGGGCTAGGTTGCCATTGGTCAATCTTTATTTATAGAGGGGACATTCTGTTTGCAGTACCGTTGAAGAGTCCTCCAATGAAACCATAATATGATTGATTCTTTGACTTTTTCCGTGCAAGTTGGACTTAAAGCTCTTAATATTCCATTTCATTTGGCATCTATATTTGTAATGGCAATGACATTCATTTAAAATTATTAGTTTCTTTTGGGGACTGTGACCTAACAAAAGTCAGGAAAATTCCTAGAAAGGTACAATAGCTATCTCTGGCTCAATTATATCACTATATGGGAAAGAAAAGGAAAAGGTATGCAAATCAGATTGAGGGTGCCTCATCCATGGCAACATTGATTAAGTGTACTGTGTGAATCTTGATCTTTTGACTTTATTTTGCTACCTCCTCATAAGCTTCTTGTTTACTCAATTGTTTTCTGCCAAGATTCCCAGACATCTTTACTTTGATGTGCTTTCCTTCTGTGGTCTGTAGTCCAAACAAAGGGGTTGCACTTGCATCCGTTGCTTCTTCTGACTGTCCTTTAACAGGAGTGCTGTAAACTGTAAAAGCACATTTGAAGAAAAAACCATTTGATAATCCAGCGACCCCTGAGAGCTGGGTGAGGTTATTATCCTAGAGACATTTGTTGTTTCCTAGTTTCTGTGTGCTTTGACTTGTTGTTCTATTAATTCAGGCTCTACTCTTGTTGATAAAAAGCTGTGGAATTTAATTAGGATTCATGATTCTTTTATACTCCTGGTTTCAATTGGTTTAGGTGAAGCTAATCACAATGATGTTGCAACAAATTGCTAAGTCAAGTAAACATGTTGATACCCACTACTCAGAGGTGAGTTGTTGATAGCATCTGGTCAGCGCCATTTCACTGTATTGAAGCATCGGCAGTTGACATCTTGTCATTTCCATTTCAATGAACTTTTAAATGTTGCTCCCTTCTCATACATATCTTGGAAAGAATTATTTGATCGACCTTCCAAGTATGTGCGCACATTCCATTTTGTTCTTGTGGTGTGGCTTTCAAGCAACCTGCCTTTTCATCTGAAACTTTCCTGCAGAAAAAGAAGATTCCAAACTTGAGCTGTGAGCATAGAATAGCTCTTTTCACCAAACTGCCATTGACTGTTGACAATAGCCCCTATTCTTCAGGAAAAGGGAACCTGAAAAAATAAAATGTTTTAGGAAAGGGATAGTCTCCTGGTGTCATTTTTCTTTCTGGCTGTGTCCAAATTCATAACATTGCTATGCTTAAATCTGTGTGGGCATCATATAACCATTGTGTTGGCGCATTTCAATCGTTCTTTTTTTTCCCCAGTTGGTGGTCATGCACTTAGCCTACCCCAACTTGTTTGGGACTTAAAAGGCTTTGTTGTTGTTGTTGTTGGTGGTGGTGGTCATGCACTGAGTGGACCCACTCTTTTTGGACTTAGAGTTGAAAAACGAGTTGATGGAACAGGAAGAATCAACTTTAGAAGGGAATCACCCTTTCTAGCAGTGCACAACAACAACAACAACAACATAGCCTTTCAGTCCCCTTTCTAGTAGTGCATATATGCAAAATACCTTCCAAGACAACACATATTGTCAAAGAGAAGTGAGCAAGAGGAAGGAAGACGTAAATAGAGCAAGGCTACCAAGGCAGCAAGGACAATTTCCCCCTGTTGGTATTCTGGTCCCTTATGAGTTCATATGCTTACAATTACGAATAAAGAAAAACTCATATAGTCAAGTCAAGTTTAACTCTGAAAAAAAAATGAAAATCATCCTCCAGTGGCCATGCAAAAAGGATTCCCCAACACCAATAGGGGCAAAGTCAACTATTTCTTTTTTGGTCCGTTTGACTTCTGTAGGTTGCAGATTGGGAAGGAACCTGCCCATACTTTTCTTGAGCAAACCAAGGCGCCCTCTGCTGTTTGATTGCTTGATGGACGTCTTGGATGAAGAGTTAGATGTTGTTAGAGAATCATCTTGTGGTCCGTTGAAACATACAGCAGTGAGGGAGACCTTAGTGCACCAAGTATAAGAATTAAGAAGCTAGTCGCTCTTATTCAAAAGTATGTCGTTTCTGAATTCCTGCAGGTCAAACTTTTTAACTGTGACTATCATGACTAATCACTAAAGTACTTACATAATGTTTAAATATCTTTATTTGAAATGCTATATTTCAAAAGAAATTGTTAGTTGATCTCACATTGTAGATCGTGTCATTGCCCTAAACTTCATTTCTTTTGAATCGAAGGGAATATTTAGCTTATGCCGGTAATGTTGTTTAATGATAATTGTACATTTTTAGCTACTTTGTTCTCCTTGATAAAGTCTGCATTTCATCCAACTAAAATTGATTGGAACCACACGAGAAACATCCACAAACGTACACCTTCCATATATCCTGGAAGCATAATTTTGTTGTTTTTAGTGAAACTCAAAACAAGTCTGTATCTGCCACAAAAAATGCAACCATTTCGATACAAGTATTTCATCAGAATTGTTTAGGTTGGACTTTTTGTAGAAATCGGATGATTCGGTTCTTTGTAATAATCTCAATGGAAGCAAGTATACTATGTTTTTTCTGCAAACCCTAGTCTATCTTTCATTGTTAGAAACAACAAAAGAGTAGAGGCTTGTAAAGTTTCAATCACTCAGGTGGCAACTTCCCATTCAGGAATGACGAGAACAAGGTGAGCGCTCTTTGGGGTTGGTAGGTTGGAACCATATGTCCAGCTCCTCGGACTGTTGCAAATATCAGACCTTTGTACTCAACAACATAGCCTCCAACCTGCCATCTCATAAAGAAACAACTTCAGAATCTTATATGGCAATGAATTGTTATACTATATCGTTTAGTTTGTTCATACCTCACCATCATCAGAATACCATGCCCGCCATGATGAATTTATCTTCAGCCCCAGGATGTCTAATGAATACAGCGTTGAAGTTACTGGGCAAACGGCATCAATATCGCCACTGAAAGATAAAATAGATCATTTCTTAGTAGGGTGGTTTAAGCAGACAGAGATTAAATAAACATTTAGAGTGTTTGCATGAAGGGAATTGTTCCAGGCTTATTTTTTGGATTTCAATCAAAGTTTGAACCGATCCTAAGGATTTGGATCCAAATGACCCGTATCCAAACAGGCACTTCATAATGCTTGTGCCTTGTGGACTTACCTATACAGCAATGTGCTAACTCCACTTGAAATTAATTGCTGAATAGATGGTAACATAGAGACTTGGACATCTATCCAATTATATATATAAAGAACAGGAACAGGAACAGAGCAGAGAAAAAATCCAGAAAAAGGGAGGAAAACAAAACAAAAGGGAAGCTAAGAAGACAAACAAGATGGAACCTAGCCATTCACTAATAACAGGGAGATAACTCTTCTTTGATGATGCATAAATCCATGCTTAAACTTTAATGCTTGTGGACTTACCTATACAGCCATGTGCTAACTCCACTTGAAATTAATTGCTGAATAGATGGTAGCATAGAGACTTGGGCATCTTTCCAATTTTCAGGAGAAATGATATTACTGGTGCTCAGAAAGAATACAGAACTTGGTTAACTGACTTAAGGCTAAGTTTTATTAAGAAATACTTGCAAGAACATCAGCTATGTTGTTTCACCTGCAATCCGACCATGGTTGCTTCAATCTTGTGGTGTTAGCATGAAGTGCTCTCTGCACCTCTTGGCGGTTCAGATATGATCGCATATAGTAACTGGCACAGGGGTCATTGTTGGTTACCTGCAACACTATACTGTGAGTTAGGGAGAAGTTGAACTTGTTTAAAATCTCTGAGAACACTTATACCGAGGCATGCTGCTTTTGGGGATCAGAAGCATCCCAGCAGAACGATGCATAGATGTTAGATTCATCGAGAAGGCCCTTCTCATTGTTTGCGGCTTCTATCGTGGTTCTACAGAGTCCTGTGTATGTTCCATTAAAGCCGCAATTTTCCTGGACTGCGGTGTGAGTTTCTTTGGAGATCATAGCATGTGTCCAGTAGTAATCGATGGTTGCTCTTGTGTTTGTGTCATCATCCAGGTATGCATTCCCAATCTGTCCCAACAAGTAAATGCTTAGAATGTAATATGGTATACACTGACTCAATATCCTTTGAAGCATTACAAGGTACTCCCTCCGTTCCAAATTATAAGTCGCTTTGATTTTTTTGATACATCAATTTTGCTATGCATCTAGATAAAACGTAATACATAGCAAATTCTATGTACCAAAAAAGTCAAAGCGACTTATAATTTGGAACGGAGGGAGTACTAAATATTATTGTCCAAAACTTACAGCAACTCCTTTGAGATTGATCATAGTGGTGTTCCTGATTTTGTTATTTGACAGAATAGTGTTGGCGAGCTGTGGTATGTAGTGGCCACCATAACTTTCACCAGTTAAAAAGAAGCTGTGGCCCTTGTACTCTGGGAACCTCTCAAGCCAATTGATGAGGAAAGTATATGCATCTGCTGCAGTGCTCCTGTCACCAGTGTTATTGTAATCTGATGTTCTGTTCGAGTATGAGAAGCCAACACCAGCAGGGCTCTCAAGGAAGAGCATGTTTGCCACTGCCATTGAGAAATGATCAGTAACACAGAGGTATTATAAGTGTAATTGTCATAAATAACTGCAATCAAGATACCATTGTTCCATGCATATTTGTTTTTGGACAGTGTCTTGTTATCTCTGTTGACGAAGAATGGCCCAATTTCATGCATAGCTCCTCCCAGAGAAGAGCAACCAGGCCCTGAAATTTCACAGTAACTCTTTTTTAGTTGTAAAGAATATCTCGCGATAAAATTGTCAGCCATATGTTTTTTCAGGGACATATTTGCTAAATATGCTAAGGGAAGGATAACTTGTGATTACTTAAGACCAGCAGCCAAGGAGCCCAAGTATGAAATATACATACTAATGAAGTAATTCTTAGCATTTAGTGTGACAGATGTATTACAGATAAAACCCTCTGTTATCCAATTAGGAAGAGTAATCCTCAACCTTCCACTTTAGGCAAGCAGCACAGAAATATGTCCTGGATATCTTAGCGTTTACATAAAAACATAAAGCAGAGGGAAAGGGATGCTAAGGAGAGTGCCACCAGGACCAGATCAAGTTTAGATGGACAGATATTTGGTTGCCCTAGCTTTAGAAAGATTTCATCCACTTTGCACTCCCATTCGATGTGCGTCATCTTTTCTCCTCCTACCTGATGCCTTCATGCCTCTGCCATCTCTCTGAGCCACCATTGGAGATCTCAGAATATCACCTCCTCTCTCTCTGTTCTAATCTTGCATGTTTCCTGCTTACCTTCCTCCTTTCCTCTACTTCTGACTCCTCCCTCTCCTTCCTTGCATCCACATGCTGCTTCCCTATTCCACCCACTCCATCCCCTTGTCTCCATCTCATGTCGCCTCGGTATGTCACCATTCAGCCTGTTCGCTTGGTCGTATTTGGCTTATAAGCCATGGCTTATCAGCCAACGAACAGTATTTTTCTCTCACACCAAACCAGCCAACAGTACTTTCAGCCATGGCTTATAAGCTAAACAAGCCCAAACGAACAGGGCTGTCATTGACTCGTTGTCCCCTCCCATGCCGCTGGAAGGGAAAATGTATGTAATCAAAAGAAAACTTTGACAAAACTTCACTGTTTTTCGGTATGCTTATTTATTCTTCAACAGAAGCAAGATGTTAAAAATATTATAGATTAGCCTACCTTATCATACTGAAATGTGTAAATGGTTTTCTCACTTACTGATTCGATTTCATAATTTGATTAATTGGAAGCTTTCTATAGTTGAGTAGTTGAGATGTTGAGAACTAGTTCATCAGGCTTGGTACTAGGAACTGTCAAATTTTACCATGGACACAACCTTCCTTGATAACTTCCTTTTAATCAAACTTCTCTTGTATCATTTCCTACAGATGAAAGGATTATAGTTCATCCGTACTATTCTTCAACTATTTAAAATACCTTTTTATCCTCTCCATTTAATTGCCATGCCACATTATCCTTATCAGTGATATCAGATGATGAAAAGTATGTTCCAATATATTACTGTGCAATTCAGTTATCAGAAAACAGAAAAAGAAAGAAGATGCTTATGATTGAACAATGACTTTGAGTTTATGCAGGGATTGAAAAGCATGCATTGAACAATACAGAACTTCAAGTTACTGAACACAAGAATGGCAATGAAGGTTTCGGGCTGTTGTTATTTTGATACCAAATTAGTTATGCGTACTAAATCAATTGAGGTTTTACTGGTTGGGAGTCAGGACAGTCTTAAAATTAAAGCCTGTTGTGCGGCGTCAAGGATTGGTTTGCTCAACCCAGTATCTACTTTGAGCATCGTACTTACTACTTAGGTCAGTTGGCCTAACAATCTGTAGAGTTAATAGCCAGATCCTTTTCCATTTCAACATGTTAAGGTTGATACTAGGTATGATAGATTGTCAGCTTCTGTTGTCCTTTGTGTCCCTCTTTGGTCAAGCAACTAATGCAATCAACAATGAGTTCTTCCAATAAATGGCTGTGGATGTTTTGTATTTGCTAGGCCACTAGCAGGAGAGAAAAAAAAAACTACTATCTGGCGCTGATCTGTAGTAAGTTCCAACTGTTTTTCAATGTTGAACCTTGAAACCATGCTTGAATCAAATGGATGGTCAGGGCAACTATCTTCCAATCCCTTTTTGGTAAGACTAACAAGATCAAATAAAACAGCAGGCAAGCAGAGTATAGAAGCACACTTGTATGATGGAAAGGCAAAAATAAACCATATACCACATAACAATTGGTTAGTCGGCTTCCTTACCTCCATTGAGCCACAGGACCAATGGCTTGGTAGATGGATCTTCAGCAGCCTCTGCAAAGTAGTAAAAGAGGGCCTTCCCAGATGTTGCATCAACCGTGACATAGCCGGCATACTGATCAAAGGCGGCCTTCTCTGGCTGCCCAGGAAGCTCACTGATCTTATCAGCCTTCTTCAACCCATCTTGCAGACCCACATATATTGGACGATCCATGCTCCAACTCGTAAGCATTTCATTGTCTAGACGATCATGTTGCATCTCCATTCTTGACCTTGAAAACTCCTGCAATCGGCAAGCCTCATCAGCAAGTGATATTTGTGCGAGCACAAGGCTGAACAATTGGATGACAAATGCATCTCTTCTGATCTTGGAGACCAAAGGAGAACAACGCCTATGACAAGAATTGGACATTGCTGATGCTGTTTGTTTGGCCTACTCTGGATGGGTCACAAGGTTCTTATATAGAGGGGACCATATATGATACTTGTCCCGTTGGGTTCTTTGATTAGAAATAGATACACTGGAATACTGGATCATGCCAAGGATATGACTAAATAACAACCATGAGGCAATAAATGATTCTTGAATGGACATAGGTACAAATATGTAGTGTCTTGATTGTTTAAATCTTGTGTTCCAAAATTTAATACCTTGCTCGATTAGTTGGGTTCATCCAGTGGTAAAATTAAGGTGTATTATATAAAAATATAACATATAAAACGTCGGTTTGCCTGTGAGTTGCAACGTGAGTTATCAGGGAATACTTCGGTACTCTGAACTTTATTGGGATGTGAATGGTGCGGCATCTGTTGCATCTAAACACAAGTGGGAACGAGGAGTTTGTGCACGGAGCACTGAATTTTGCATGTAACTGTATTATTAGATCTGCATCATCGTTCTTAATTAAGAGTATTTCCTAGCACTTAAACTTCTCTATTCATATATTTTGCAGTATCGGTCAAGCAAGAAGTGACCATACATGGCGACTGAAATGACGGGAATCTGTATTGTTAATTAAAGAGCACATAAATCATAAGAGAGATTGGCCATGCATCAGCATCAGGTATCTTGTTCTATTCTTTTCTCCCCCTCGTTCTGGCTCCACAGATTCAAAGAGACATATCGTCCATTCTTGCGGCTATTGTAGGATAAAAGATGCTTCATGCTGTCTGTCGGTGTTTTGAGTAAACACCAACGAGTAAATTTATAATATTGTGCGTCTGGCCGGATGGTGTGCTAGGAAGACACAAGGTTTATACTGGTTCGGGCAGAATGTCCCTACGTCCAGTTCGTGGCTGCTACTCGTGTTATTAACACTGAAAAGTTCGTAGTAGGGGTTACAAACGGGTGAGAGGGACAGATTCTAAGTCTCTAGTGGAAAGAACGAATGGACGCCGAGAGCTCAGTCACTGCTCAACTATGTGTTTGAGGTTCGATGCTAGTGGTTCTGCTATGATGCGGTGTGATGTGCGATGTGGTGAACCGATGTCCCTTAGTGGGACGTCCTGCTTTCCTTTTTATAGGCCAAGGAAAAGCACATGTTACAAAAATGGGAGAAAAATAAGAGAACAAGAGGCGAACGAAGTCCTTTAGGGTCGCCGGCCTTTCTTTTCCTCCATGCGGGCCCCGCTGAAAAAGACATGGCAGGTGGCGACAGGGACAGCCCCACGCCGGGTGCCTGGCCGCTGACACTGCCATGCCCTAGCGTTGTCAGCGGGGCGTAACGTCCCGCTCCGCCCGGCGCGCGGTGCGGCGAATCTACGTAGAATCGCCTGGGGGATTTTTTGACTTGCCAGTGGGTGCGCGCAAGCACACCCGGTGGGTGTACCCCCCGAACCTACGGAGGAGTAGAATACTCCTTCGGAGGTTTTTTTCGAAAGGGAGAACTCTGAGGGCCCTGGTCTTCTTTTGTCGCCCACGACGTGTCCTGGGAACGGTGATTCCTTCTTGCCGAGGTCAGACCTTTCGCGGGTATGGCCGTAAGATTTGGTGGTTCGTTAGCTAGATAGTTCGATTGGGGTCCCGACATCCCGTTCGCGGGGATCCGGCCAGGGTCAGCCTGGCTGAGCCTTGATCGAGGGCCGAGATGCTTGTGGCGCTCGTGCACCTGAGTACTGGCCACTTGCGGGCCCATCCCTTATCCTAAGGGTGCCTAGAGCGGTTGTCGAACTCGTTGATGGGCCTAACCTTCGAACTCCTAGGCCTAGATGGGCCATAGAGGTGCTTTTTTATCTGTATGATGAGTCGCGGCCCGCCCGGGGAGGCGAAACGTCCGGCGAGTCTACCGAGGGAAAGGATAGAGATTGCGTGCGCATATCTTGCGGCGTGACATTGTGGCAGATCATGGTAGGCTCGGAGATCTAGGTGGATGGTTGGTTTCCTCGCATCCGTCGCCCCTATAAAACCAAAGGGTTCGCCCCTAGGGTTTCATACCTTGCCTTCTTGTCTTCGCATCTGCAACCTCCACCGCCAATCGCCTAGGCTTCCCGCACCCACGTCCCAGCCGCCGTCGAGCTCGCATCCACCTGTCCCCATATTCCAATGGATCCGTGGTGCCGCTCTGACATCACCTTCTAGCGCATGGAGGGCCTCATCCGTCGTGGCCTTCTCTGCGTGTGGACCGCGGTCGAGGAGTGGCTGTTGCCTGGTGAGGAGGATGTGCCATCGCCGCCCGATGGCTACGTGGTGTCATTCGTGTACGTCCATGAGCGCGGATTTGCCATCCCCGCCCACAGATTCCTTCGGGGGCTGCTGCACTACTACAAGATCGAGTTGCAACACCTCAATCCCAACGGAATCCAGCACATGACGATGTTCGTCACCCTGTGTGAGGGATTCCTAGGGATCAGTCCCCACTTTGATCTGTGGCGGCACTTCTTCGCCGTCACCCTCTAGAAGAAGAGAGAGAAGAAGCAAGAGCTGAATACACCGATGGGATGCGCCGGCATCCACCTCCAGAACAATCGGGTCGGCGAGTACCCGTCGATGCGGCTGTCGACCTCCAACAAGGGGTGGCATTCGCATTGGTTTTATCTTAAGAATGATACTGCCACCCCCCTGTTGGAGTTCATCGGGCGCCTAATCGAAGAGGCACCAGATTTATGGAGGAAGTGGGGTGTCCCGGAGAAGGACAAGAAGAAGATCCGGGACCACCTCGCCACCGTCTGCATCCTGAAGGAGAGGGGCCTAAAGGGGTCGAGCATCATCGGGGCCTACCACACGAGGAGGGTGGTGCCGTTGATGAGACGACGCTTGCCGAGGGAGCGCTCTTCCACTCCAAAGTCACGCAGCATATCAAGGAGGCGATGGAGCCTTCGCGGGATGACCCGGGCGCCCCCTTGATTTTGTGTACCCAGTACCGGGGCATCCTCCAATGTGGCCGGAATCAGGATACATCGTCTTTGTAAGTTTTCCCTCCTTATGCCTCCTCTTCAATTGAACTCCCGACCCCTAGATACTAACATTGAGACTGGGGGACCAGTCGAGGGACCTCGTCCTCATGGATCACCCGGCTCCATTGCCGAGGGATTCATCCGTGAGGGTGGCGAATCATGCCGAGGGCGAGCTGCTTAGGAACGCGGAGGACAAGAGAAAGAAAAGGCAGCAGAAGCTGCTGGTGTGGGAGAGAGGGGAGGACACCAACAGCGACGACGACGACGATGAGGAAGACGACGATGAGGTAGTCGACAACACCGAGTGAGATGACCTGGAGAGCAAGGATGTGCTGATAGGTATCTGCTTGTCCTTACAGGGGTCAGGACCCTTCCCATTCCATGGAGGGGAGGGCGCGTCCGTGAGGCCAGCGGAGACAGGCCAGACCGTCGGCCTGCCCTAGGAGCCAACAGGGGCGGGCGGATCTACCGCCGTGCCCGAGGTGCCAGCGGAGGCAGGTGGCTCCGCCGTCGCACCCCAAGATACAAGGGGAGCGAGCCCCTCTGCCCGAGAGCAGGGGGCGGGCTCAAAATGGCCTTGCCCCGATGAGGCGGAGTAGGGGTCTAGGGGTTCGCCCCCCAAACATATCTGCCGCCCAACAGCGCCGATGTAAGTCACTGGCTCCTCTGTTTTTCTATGTTTTTCTCTATTTTCATCGTGACTTATGCCTTTTATTTCTTGTAGTGTCGTGAGGCGGTGTAATCCTTTGGCGCTGGCGCCAAAGAAGAGCGTTGCCCTCCAAGCGGGGCGGCAACTGTCGGTTGGCATAGCGTCCGTTTCGGGCGGGAGTGGCGCCGATGTGGCTGCATCACTGGCCAGTCATGCGCCTCCCACGGTGGCGCCCGTGCCCTCGGTGGGACAAGCGGGCTCAGGGGCTCGAGGGTCGCCCTCGGAGGTCGCTGAGCAGCCGGCGATGGAGGCGATACTGCTGCCGACGACGGGGCAGACGGAGGTGGCGGCGGTTGTTACAGGCGGGACATAGCCGGACGTAACCATGGTGGCGCCTGAGGCAACAGCGTGACCCGCGCCATCGGCGGCCCAAGCGACGGCGCCCGACGTGGGCCGGATGGAGGGGGATGCGGCCGAGGGGTCCTCGGACATCGTGGTGGTGGCAGAGAGGGCCGACGGGGAATCATCCCTGGCCCTGACGTTGGGAGGCAGCCACTCACCTGTGCGAGGCGAGCCCCTGCTCCGGTGGAAAAATCCTCAAGTGCTGACATCGACTCTCTTCACCCTCAACGATGCCACCGAGAGCATGGAGTGGGAGAGCCTCGACGTGGGGATTGCATCCGTGCTGGAAGCCTTGGACCACGCTAGGGGTGCCCTGTGCGACATTATCGTTCCCACTGGCCGGGTATTCGCTTGATCCTGCCTCTCGTCCTCTTCTTTCTTCATGTATTTTTTGTGTTCTGACCATCATCTTCTTTCAGTCCCTTATCGCTCGTAGCCGGGAGAAATCCTGGTTCCTTCGTGAGCAGAAGGAGAACTAGGACCGCCTCGTCGAAGAGGCGCGGCTACGCAGGGATGTGACCACCCGGCTCATTACCGCCTAGCAGAGGGTAGCCGAGCTGACTCCCCTTGTCTAGGAGGTGGACAGTCTCCGACTACGGGAGGCCAAGGCATGTCAGCATGCGGATGAGGCCGAGAGGGCGTTCGAGGCCCTATCGGCGAGGTCGCGGCAGGATGACGAGGAGGCCGCCAAAGTCAGGAGGGAGCGGGATGAGCTATTCTAGAGGGACGTCGAGACCCGTCGGCGGATCCTCGACCTTCTGGCCAAGGCTGAGAGGGAGCGGGAGCTGAAACTGGGAGCCAAGGAGAAGCTTGCGGCCCTAGAGCGGGGGATGAGTCTAGATGCTGAGGTGGTCGCCCGACTGGTCAAGGAGCGGGACGAGCTGCTCCAAACCATGGAGAGGCTCCGCTCGGAGCGTGGCATGGCCTGCGAGGAGCGCGACTAGGCCGTCCAAGAGCGAAACGACGCG